AGGTTTCGGTTTGCGAATTTGTTCAGTCTTTTCTTAGCCTAGAAGTCAGACAAGCCCAGGACACTCAATAAAGCATGCAAGCTTTTAGTATTCGTCTTTATATGAATACTATATTAATTTACAGTAAAAAGTCAACAAGGATACAAAATACATGACACTTTTATCTCTACATTGCCGCAATTCCGAAGTGTTGCTCGGTTTTACAAACGGGAAGTGTAGTTTAGGGAAGCTTGTCAATCACTTCATTTGAATCAGTTATCAACCAATCAGAGCTATGCGTCCAAATATTGGACGCATGCACGTAAATATCATAGGGATCCTTGCAGGCTCTCTTTCACCCAGAGAGCCTGCTTGCAGGCTATTCCTCATTTTGTGAAGCGTTTTGTGTTAAACGGCCTCACATGTTACTGTTTAGTTAGTCAACAAATTAGATTTGATTGCAAAGTTACCAAATATCTGAAAGATGGCTTTAAGCAAGTAAGGAAAATATTGATGTTTAACATTATAAAATATATCAAGGTCCCATCCAAACCAGCCCAACTTTGTGTTCTCTGGCCAGACATTCTGCCTCGTGGCTAACCTAGGTGATCTCATAATTGCGGTTTTAAAAGCTATTTAGCTCCAGTGCCCTCCCCTTGATGAGTAAAATTGTCTGTTGTTAGACAGAGTAAAATAACAAAGTAGCGTGCATCGTTCAGAGTGCAATGTAACCCAATGGGTTAACTAGACACATGGGCAGATAATCTGATTAACCCATTGAGTGCCAGAGCTCTCCCCTTGACAAGTAAAATCCTCTGGCATTAGACAGAGCAAAATAACAATTGAAAGTACTTAGTGTGCATTAGGGTTCAATGCAACCACAGTTTTTCAGATGCAACCCAATCGGTTACTGTACCGGTAGTGCTAGACTTTCGCAAAGTTCTTTGTCTTGACTCGAAACGAAGAATTTTAGAGGAAGTACTTTACGAAAGTGTAAGGAATTTGCTGAAGTCAATGTGTGAGAATGAAGAACTTTTCTAACTTAAAGCGCGCCATATTTTACTGACCTAAAAATGGATCTATATAACATATACTGGCTTTGTTGATTAGGTCTTTGATCAATCATATGGAACTTGATAAAAAACATGTCAATCAAAGCGACACATTTGGTGTTTCATATTTATAAATAGACTTGTGAAACTCTAATTAACACTAGAAATAGCACAAATTCCACGCCCTCTTTATAGTTTTGGCACGAAACGCAAAGTAACAAAAATGCTGCAAGCAAGACAAGTCGACCTCCAGCGCAAGACTTTGTTGCTCGCCCGGTCTTGTTTGTTGCTCAACCAAACTTTTTGGTGGTAATAGAGACAGCGGAAGTTGACTTGGAATAAATCTAGTGCAGTGCTTGCAAGGAAAATTTACTCTGGTATTGCCATTTACACATTGATGTAGGGCGTAAAAAAAACCTGTGGTTCCGGTTCCCGACCGACCCTATTTTTTTTCTGCCGACCCAATTATTTTTTCAACGCGATTGACCATGCAACCCTATTTTCTCCAGGTGGTTGCGGGCTGCTCGTACAGCGTGCCAAAATGGCGTCTGTTGTCACACTAATTATTGAACCAAATTGCCTAAATTCGTCCGTAGGAAATATGCATCTCTAGTTAATATTGATGTTGGGACTCTACTGCAAATTGCCCTGCAAAAAACTGCCAAAGCCATGAAAAAAATTAAAAAAAAAAATTTATTTCCGACCTACTGACCCTAATTTTTTCACGATATGAAACCGGAACCACAGGTAGTTTTTTTTACGCCTAGTCACTAGTCAGCCATTTTGGATACTCTGCTGGAATAGGGTAATGGTTAACCATTGGCAAGGCAAGAAAGTGGGCCATTCTAGAAAACATCCATGTGTATACTGTACCTTCCCCACAGATAAAATTAAAGGTTAATCCCGCTACCGTATTTGGATGTCTTAATACACTTACCATTATCAGAAACAAAGTGTTCTCCCCTCCGTATGGTAAGGGAAACTTGCTCCCATAAAAATATATAGCTTTACACACTTATCATGCTTTGAACAACCTGCTGCTGATTGTTAACTTATAATTCTTATTATAAGTTAAGTAAACATAGATAGCAAAAAAATTCCATTTGAGTCTTGTTTCTTCTTTGTTACTGTATATTTACTATAGAGGTGCACCAGCCATTAACTGGATTTGGCCAGAAGTGTAAATGCCTTTTTTTAAAACATCTTATTAACCAAGGCTTTCAACATAAGCTGCCCGAGCTCCGGTGGGGGCCACGAGCTTAACCACCGGTTACATTATTTAATTAGTGCTTAAAATATCAATTCTGCTCTCCTTTCTCACTCTAAGCTACTTTCAAACAAAGTTATTTTCCTCAATCTGGTCTACTTTATAACCTGGTTATTTTCTAAAACAACGTAATATACTTCTATTTCATAAAACTGATTTAGTTATTTGCCATCTTAAATCTTGTTGAAAGTGGCGAATTTAGTGCTGTGCAAACTCCGGGTTTTTCACCTCCAGCTCCGACCAATGGAAATTTCGCATTTTAAAGTGGAAGCACTGTCTTTGTTTTTGATTGTAACATGAATATTTCGTACTATGCATGATGCACGGTATTGGTTGCGCTAGACAAGAAGCAGTCGCTCACAAACGCAAAGTCAATGTGGTTAAAACTTTTTATAATAAAACTTAATAAAGGCAAGTTTACCGATGTTCCCTGGCAAAAGGGCGGCGCTTTTTTGTTACAATGTTCCCCGCCAGAGAAAAGACTCGCTCAGTCATACAGTAGAATACTATATTTACATGTTTGTGGCAAGCCTACGCAGTATCAATGCGAGTATTTACTTTTTCGTCGATGTCCGGCAGTAGTTTGCAGCACAAATAAGTGCTGCCGAAGTCGAACAAACTCCGGCTCCGACAGAATAGGCCAAAACTCCGGCGCACAGCACTCGACTGGCGATACATTATAATTTGGTTACAGAGCTCAGTTGTGTTGCTATCTAATCAATATACACTAGTTAATTTGGATGACTTGAAGACTCCCTAGACTGCCATGCACCCATATAGCTGCCGGCTACTTTATCAATACAGCCAGCTACTGTACTGTCCTTAGAATAATTCCGAAAGCCATGGTTGTATTAATATTGATGTTCATCAGTAAATAAACACAGGGTTCCAATTCCTGGAATGCTTTGTTGAGTCCGATTGCCATCCCTACAAATACATGAGTGATAAAGCTGACTATAATGAATAATCTAGCTCAGCCTGTTAAATTAATAGACTTTTTTAATCAAAATCTGCCTCTAAACCCCAGATGAGTAAACATACAGTAGGTGTAACGTGGCACCTGAGTTGGACACGCTTTCTTGCTGTAATTATAGATCAGTAATGGCTACTGCCTCCACTTCAACTTCTATATCAGACGATGAAAGAAGATGGGTTGTCATTGGTGTATGTTTGACCAAAGTGCTCACTCCTGCATTGAGAAATGTTCTTGCAATGGAAATACCAAATTGGCACCAAATTTTATGTCAACCACCGACCGAAATTGACAAACAAGTTTACGGCCGACATAAAATACAGTTGAACCCATCAACTTTAGACCTCAACTATAAAAATATCAACAACAATCATACCCTTAAATCACCTCGTGCATTTAATTATGCTGTTAAAGACCCATTGTCTTTGGCAAAGTTGTTTGTTCTACCATTCATGTCTAAGTTCACTGGCTTTGATCAAATGGACATATCTGCAGTCTTATCAGTGATTTGTGAAGCTGCCCCATTTGTAGGAGCTGCTGCTCATGCAAAGACAGTTCGATCAGATATCAGAAACGAGTGGGCACATTGCAACTTTGCAAATTGGACTGATGCAAAATTTATTGCTGCTTTTCAAAGTATGGAAACTTTACTTAAGAACGTGAATTTGTCATCTCAAGATGAACAGAAATTGTGTGATGAACTGAATGGATGGAAAGATAAAGGTAAAGAAATTACAATTCACTCGCTTGAAGTATGCCTAAATATAACTGTCTGGTTTACTGTACACTTAAAAAAACCATCTATTTAGAGAGATTTGCAATCAAGATTAATTTCTTACTGCAAGTTCAATTGTTAAAGCTCGTCAACATGACTCTGTAGCTCGATTAGAGTGCTGCACTGCAGGATTCACAGGGCCAGTGCTCTCACTTCTAAGGATTTTTTCTTAGAATCAGGAATTTTGCAAAGTTTTAAGGAATTATCTAGGGAATTGAGAATTCAAACATTTAGACAAAGATATTGGCTCGACTCAAAGTATTCATTGAAAGACGAGCCCAAAACGCAGGAAATCGCACTTGAGGGACTTTAAATTTAAAAAATTTTTGGGGGGAGCACCTTAGCACCCCAAAAGCCCCCTCAGCCCCCCAAAGCGTGGCCCCTGGCTACGCAACTGTGTATGCTGGAAATTTCGTGAGGTAACGCAGTACGATTTTTATTTTTTGAAACCGCGTCTATAAAACAGCCTCGACGGCAGTGTGTCTAAAAAGGTAGTTCCACGGATAATTTGGGAGAAACAAGTTATTTAAGGAATTTTTGGGAAATCCTGGGGAATTTCGGAGCTCTTGCTGTGGAATTCCAAAATTTGGTTGTGAGAGCACTGCACAGGGCTGCAGATTCGATTCCTGGCAGAAGGGCTATACTAAATCACTTACATTTTTTGCAGCTGCTCTTCGTTAGGTCTAAAAATGTATAAAATTTACATTCGAAATTTCTATTTAAGGCCATGTTCACATCATCCCGGGATAAACAACTGCCTCGCGACAAGTAATTGACCCGGGATAGTGATATATTCTGTTCACATGAACAAAACTAGAGCGGGTCATGCCTACAAATACATTACGCGTCCGAATCATAAAATATTTCCGCCAACATGAAACAGTGAAATATTGCTATAAAATAAAAAAACATTCTGGTAAACGCAAGTCGTATTTTCGGTTGTGATATTTACAAATAGAACGTAGTTGATTATCAGCCGTAGTAAAATGTGCTCAATTCATTGTTTCTGGTTGACCAGATCAAATTCTTTGAGTAACATACTACACTTCTTGGTTTCAAACATGATATTAGCGACAATTTTATTTTAATATTATTACAATTATTACTTATAGATTTCTAGTGATATCTTCAATCAAATAAATTGTGGAGTCCAACGAAAATTTTTGTGGAGTCCAACGTGCTGTAAATGTAATTTTAGCCGCAATTTTGATCGTTTTATCAAAAATTCAATTATCCCGGAGCAAACTGTTCACGTGAGGAAAAGTTGTCCT